AATGAAAATACAATGCAACAGTTGAGTGATTCAATTTCAAAGCTTGAAATTGAAAATACTAGTTTGCATGAACAAATTGAAGATTTATCTATCCAACTAGCAACACAACCATACCAAACACCAAAATAAGTTCACCTCCAAGGTCAGTGAAAATCTTGAACCACAGAAGGTTATGTTATTGTGTCAACATAACTCAGAGAAATTTCTATTTACTGAATTTTCACAAAAGTGCAACAAGAGCTAGTAGTAGACCAACAACAAGTGAAATAAGTGCAAGAGACAAACCAACAACAAGAACCACACAAGAAGGACAAAGACAATAGTAATTTTCTTTGGAATTTGAAATTTCTCTGACCACATTAGTGTCCAATTATTTTCAATGGCTTCTTTATTTTTCTCTGTCTCGTTGCTTCCATGTGTGTGTAATTTTCTCTGGATTTTGTAAATTCTCTGACCACATTGATTTTTGTGGCTTGTTTGATTTTCACTGTGTACAGTTGGAATGCAAGTGCAACAACAGCCAATAGGCTAAAAAGAAAGAATAGTAGACAAACAACAAGCAAAAGCAAAGACAAGAGTCCATGGTAACTGAAAATATTGACTTAAATAAATTTACATATTGAATTCTAATTTTGTTACTTTAGAAAAATTTATGTTTTATTGAAATTTCACTGTCGTACTATGGTGAAAAAAGATCCTACATCCATGATAAAGAATTTGAAGGCAAAGGAAAGGAAAGCAAAGCAAAACCCTGACTTCGAATATCCTAGAGTTGCAAAGATGACTAGAGCTTCAAAGTAAGATGCAAAACCAATAAACCAAACTGCCAAAGATGAAGAAATTTTTGATGTTGATGACTATGTCTAGCCTCAACCAACAAATCCCATAAAATTTTGGGTAGCGTTTGGTAGAGTTTTAGAATTGTGATTTGAAAATAGAGTTGTATTTTGAGTTTGTGAATTTTGGAATTATGATTTGATTGTGGAAATTTATTTGGTTATGAGTTTTGAATTGAGTTTGAAATTTTTGATGTGACATATAATATTTGATTCAAAAACTTACAACTCATAACCAAACACACAACCCAAAATTCTATTCAAAGCTCATAAAACAATTTTAAAAAATTTTGAAAATATTTTTTATTTAAAACAAAAAAAAAAAAAAAAACTTGAACACTGTTCCGATCAATCGGCTGGATGTCCGGGGGGACGTTTGGGAGGATGATAGGTAGACGTGTTTTAAAAAGTGGGTGTAAAATCAACTTTTGAAATTCTAACCAAACAACACACTCAAACCAAGGGGTGGAATTGCATTTGGAAAGTCTCCACCAAGCACAACCTTGGATTTTCTCATCAAGTCTACCGGTTACAAAACTGCTCAAAGAACATGTCAAAGATATCTTGCAGCACATATCAAATGTGTCTAGACTAGAGTAAGTACAACAATTAAAGTATAAGATAACAAACATCAGTTTACTAACTTATATTGCATTAAAAACTCTTAAATCTCTTCTTTGTCATCTTGTAGGGCTTTTATTTGGACAAGCGAGTTGTGTTAGGATATGACCCTTCCTAACCAAGATCAATAAGACACGAAATAACAAACAAGAAAAAAATTAACGAATCAAACAAATCACATACACACGAACACAAGGATTTGCGTGGTTCACCCTAGAATAGGGTTATGTCCACGGCTATTGTGGTTTTCACTATGATCAGAAAATACAACTCTCTCTAAACCTAAAAGAGGCGCCCCTCATCTATTTGTAAATATAGAATTAGGGTTGCATGGAAGCACATGGGAATTATGAAAGTATCCCCCTGGACCCCCCTTCCCCTTGGGGGGAGGCCTCCCCAAACCCCCTATTGGACCCAGTGTTTGAGTGAACAGTAAGGTTGAGTGAACAGTACTTATCCAGGTCCACCGACACAACAAGTTGAATCTCATTTCTTTTGAAGATACTAAAAACCTAATAAAGGAAAAGGAAATTGCCAACCATGTAAGTCCATTAAATTTCTCTGTCATGTTGCATAAGCCTTTATAAAACAATGTTACAATGATAAATGATATTTTTAGGTCATTGATGGTTACAGAAAGATACTCTTTGCTGACCAAAAGAGAAAAGGACAATAAACAACTTCATTTTTTTTTCACATGCATGTGCTTGGTATGTTACTTAGTACTCTCTTATTTGATTTTCACTAGAATTTACTTACTGCTTGTAACGGCTTGGGTCAAGACCCAACCCTTATTCCTTTTCGTATAAAGATAGTTGTATTAAAAAGGTTTTCTGTCGAAAATTGGACTTACCTCGAAAATTTTCTACATATGGAAATTGGATTTTTCAAAACCTATGATTTTCAAAATAATTTTTGGCGGTAATTGTTCCTTATATATTAAATAGTCTAATTTGATTTTGTGAGATTTTCTAATTTGATTTGATTTTACTTCAACGTCAAACTTAGAAATTCAGTCAAAAAATTATTTCTGTACTAAAATT